GTTGCCCAGGCTGGAGTGCAGTGGTATGCTCATGACCACTGCAGCCTAGACCTGCTGGACTCAGGCGATCCTTCTGCCTCAGCCTTCCAACTAGCTGGAACCGCAGGCACGTGCCACCATGCCCAGCTAATTTTTTCTTGGTTTATTGTAACAATAAGGTCTTGCCATGTTACCCAGGCTGGTCTCGAACCTGTGGGCTCAGGCAATCCTCTCATCTCGGCCTCCCAAAGTGCTGGGATTATAGGTGTGAGCCACTGCACCCAGCCTAGCACACACTATTTATATAAAAAATAAATTAAGCTTTAATAATGAAACACCAGTATAAAAATGCAGCTTTTTAAAGCCTGTTGGAAAATAAAAAATAAGGCACAATGGTTCATGCCTGTAATCTCAGCACTTTGGGAGGCTGAGGCAGGAGGATTGCTTGAGGCCAAGTGTTCCAGACCAGCCTGGGCAACAAAGCGAAACCCTGTCTCTACAAAAATTAGAAAAATTAGCCAGGCCTGGTGGTGTATACCTATGGTCCCAGCTACTCAGGAGGCTGAGGCAGAAGGATGGCTTGAGTCCAGGAGTTTGAGGTTGTGTTGAGCTGTGGTTGGAGTGAAACCTTGTCAGAAGAAGGAAGAAGAAGAAGAAGAAATGTGGAAATTTCTGAGAGAAACAGGATCACTGTGGACTCTCGCTCTTCAAAAATAAAATATTTTGAAAATTAAAACCTGGGACAAATCACTGAGTATTTTTTAAATGCCAATTTAAAATTCTGCATATATATGAATCTTCTTATTAAATTTTTGTTGGTTAGAATATGGCTTTGGGTTGCATCCAAAAAGTTAACTGTTGCACAGGTTGAAGGTTAAGTTACATTCCCTTGAAGCTAAAAGGGTTAAGTCCCCTCATAGCCATTCTTCTCGCTTCCAAATAGAGTTCATCACTTAGTGGCCCTACATCGATGATCTTAGAATTTTATGCTCAGATAACTTCTGAAATGAATTTTGAAAATCTCTGTATCCCCTTGCACACTTCCAAATTGACATCTAAAATTTTTCATCGTAAATAGTTACAAAGGATATAAGTCCTGGCATATTGTAGGTACTGCGTCTTAAAATAAAACTGTTACATTCCTTTTTAAATTTAGCCAAGAGGCTCTAAATAGAATAGTTATATGATAGATACTATCATCCTTTTGAAAATTACATGGGTCAGGCGTGGTGGCTCAAGCCTATAATCCCAGCACTTTGGGAGTCCAAGGTGAGGGGATTGCCTGAGCCCACGGGATTGAGAACAGCTGGGCAACTTGGCAAGCCCTCATCTCTACAATAAATCAAAACATCAGCCAGGCATGGTAGCACCTGTAGTTCCGGCTACTTGGAAGGCTGAGGCGGAAGGATTGCCCAAGTCCAGCGGGTCGACGCTGGGGTGGCTGTGAGCATGCCACTGCACTCCAACCTGGGCGACGGAGTGAGATTCCAACTCAAAAAAAAGAAAGAAAGAAAGAAAGAAACTTAGCTGGAACAAGGCAATTTTTAATAGTAGAAAATGCCCATTTTCCTTTTATTCTTGGTATTTTCATACTACTCCTCCCTCAAAATTCTAACCTAAAATGTTTGGCTTTTATATTGTTTAATTTTATCTCTGTAACAAAAGTTATATAATATCCTATAATCATAGGCTCTACGCCTTTTCAAAAATTGCTGAATTGAGCTTAATGAATACATAGTACAAATGTTAATAAATTATTAAACATAGTAAGACTTCATTGGAAATGTATCACTTAACAAGATGAAGAGGGGTCCCTCCCCCTGATTATTCTATCTATCCGTGGATTAATATCATTAATTCCATTCTCTCTGTTCAATTTCACTTATGGAGGTGATGATCCTTGCTTATGTGGTAAGTCAGTGGGCACAGAATATGTCTTACAATAGCAGGATCACTGAATTCTTTCAACTGCCTTGTAATTACATGCTGAAAGACTCAGAAATCTACCGGGTGTTCCTTCCATTTTGTTGAAAGCAAAGAATTGGGAACCACCAGATTTACAAAGGTATTTGTACACTGTAATTAAGTCATTCACTTTTCAAGCACCTATATTTTGAATTGTACACCTTGAGGTATGCTCTACATTGAAACTGAAGGGCAAAGCTATACTTTCTTTTGTAAGGTGAAATAAGGGCATTTTCTTGGGCAGACGAGTCTTAGGAAGGAACACAATAGTAGGGTATCTGAAAAATGATCCCCTGAAAGTACTCTAGCCTGCGTATACATTTGAAAGTTCTGGGATACTCCCAGGGGTAGGACTAGTTCAGTTTAAATACCATTGGCCTTGGTGGCTTACATTTAGATTTTAACTAGGTCACAAAGCATATACATTATTAGATCATGTTGTCTGGCTGCCTTCTTAATGGAGCAGCAGGTCATCAATGTATTCCACTGTACACAAGTCCATGAGACATGTATGGCAAAAGGATTCTGAGATCAAATCTGAAAAACATGATCTATGCTCTTGCACGTCCAAGTATCACAGTGAAGAAATTATTTAACTTTGCATAACCTAAATTTCTCAAACTCGAAAGACCTAACCAGACTTCCTACTTTATTTTTCCAAGCAATAACCAGTATTCCACATAATACACTTAGAGAAATGGTGAATACAAACAATGTAACACATACACCGTCATGGTTTCGATCCATCAATGCAGCTGCCATCTTTCAGGATGTTCCAATTACTCTTCTGCTTGTGCTCAAACTGCCTGTGCTTTAACAGTCATGTAATACGTGCATCTCAGCTAGATATTTAGGTTATGTGGCATCAAACAGATTCTTAGAAGAGCCACGATATCATCTGTGTCTTTCCTGAGAGAATCGACTTAGCCCCTAACACTACCAAGAATCAGATTAATGTGTTACCTTATTATTATTATTTTATTTTATTTTGATTCAGTCTCACTCTGTCACCCAGGCTGGAGTGCAGTGGCACACTCATGACCACCACTGCCTGGGCTCAGGCAATCAGGACCTTGCTGGGCTCAGGTGATCCTTCGGCCTCAGCCTTCCAAATAGCTGGAACTACAGGCGCATGCCACCACACCAAGCTAATTTTTTTATTTATTGTAGAGACGAGCTCTCAACAAGTTGCCCAGGCTGGTCTCAAACTCCTAGTCTCAGGCAATCGTCTTGCCTCTGCCTCCCAAAGTGCTGGGATTACAGACATGAGCCACCATACCCGGTTAATGTGTTACTCTGTTAAGGGCAAGGTGGAAGAACCAAGCAAATACTTTTTAATGGTGGATTCAAGCTGTTGTAGCACCAGAAGGAGACAGTTTTAGGCAGAGGGTTCTTCTCAGTACTGTTTGTTATAATCCTCTGCCTGCTCTTTGGCTGCATATGGATTTTACACAGCAGTCATTGAAGAGATGCTTAACTTCTGCCTCCTATTCTGCCATTTCTCTATTTCTTTGATAGAGTAGCAAAAAAATCCATTCTAAGCTGAAAGAGAATGCAGGCCTTAGCACTTGGGCTTTACAATACAGTGAAGTCAGGAGCTGAAAGGAGATAATAACAGCACTGCTGCGCTCTACTGTGTAGAGATCATGATAGAGCTCAAAGTGGTTGGGGGCATTGCATGTGCAATAATTAGGCTCTGGTGGCTACTTGGCCAACGCCTAATGGGGCCCTGGCTACTAAGTGCCCGCAGCATTCAACTCAGTGCCCTTTTAACCCAACCATTCTTGAAAGTTGCTTTGAACACCTGCTACTATGAGGAATATCTTCCCTTAGCTACTGACTACCAAGTAAAGTAGCGACTCCCAATTGGAAAGAATAACTAACATGATGTCACCAGGTAACAGGCCTGCCTTGGCCAGACTGCTATTATCTGTATTCCTGGCTTCAGGGAAGGTAAATGCTTTTCTTTCAGGAGCTCATGGATGGAGATAAGATGGTCCATGAGACTCATAGCTTTTTATTTTTTAAACATTACACCCCCAAACCTTGGCACCATGCTTGGCATATGAAAGTGTTCAATAAGTTTCTGAGGAATGAAACTTTGGGTCAGATAGAGCCTGTTTCATCTTGCTCTATAGCAAGACAGCTAAGCCTGGCATTGGGGATAACCAGCAGAGGGTCAGAAATGAGTTTCCAGGACCCCATTCCATTCACATAAAGCATCCACTGCTGGTTGGTTTCTCCCCACCACAGTCATTGCTTTTCACGGCTACACACATTTTCCCCTAAATCAGTTCTCAATCCACTGAGTGAGAAGTTGTGTCTCTACTGATCAACCCCCCAACACCATCCTCTCTTATCAAAAACTGTATTAAATCAATGGAATTTCACCTCAAGGTTCAGCAGTGACAAGTCCTAGTCAACCACAACCACATGTATTATCATGAACTAGGTGGGCTTTCCCCTTGACAGACAGCTGCATTGGAGATTTTCTGTCACATTTTAACACTTAGGCCATTAAAGTTTAGCTCACTGTTCCAGAAAATTGGGTACCCACAGAAATCCCCCCATAAGCCTAACGCTCATCTGCCTCTTTAAACCAACAGCTGACCTACTTTCTTTCGAGAGCTGTCGACTGAGGGCCATCCCAGTGGCCTCCTAGCCAGTTCATTGGTGCCATGGGGGGATGAGTGGACCAGAGCCTCCCAGCAGCAGGCAGAGCAGGGGCATGTGAGAAGCTGGCAGAGCCAGCAGCAGGGCTCCAGCCTCTCTGACAGACTTTTTAAAATGGAGGCCCCAAGATTTCCAGCCCCATCCCCAATAACTCTAGTCACAAAGCAAGCCTCTACCATTAATTAGAAATGGTCTTAATAAACAGATTCCATCACCTCACCACTTCTTGTGGATTGCAGCAGGTCCATGCAAGAGGTTGTCTAGTCAGTCAGCCAGCCAGTAGTAGTTGACAGGTATTGAGCTGAGCCCACTGACAAGGGGCACAGTGCCTCCTTGAGCCCTATGGAATCTGATGACTTTAATTGTGGAACTGTTTGCCTTCTAGAATGTAATGGATTTGTTCCTTACATTTCTGGCTCATCTTCCATGGAAGTCAATCACCTGGGTCATTAGAGGCAGAATCTTTTGGGCCAGAAAAGAAATCCTGTTCACTGTACAGGTTGTGCACAGAAGGTTGAAATGATCGAGACTTCCATTGCTTTTATTCAATGAGGTTTGGAACATGAAAGACCAAAAACGAGGAACATGTTTTAGGGATCCTCCATAGAGACTATAAGTTAAGAAGGTTGTCCAAGATGAAAAATTAGCAGGAAATCACCCCAACTCATGCCAGTTGGGTCTTCTTCAGAAATGTCATCTTGATGGCAGGCTTGATGAAAGGATGATGTCACTGATTAGAGTCTTCCCAGGGTGTAAATAGAGCACATTCTTCTACATACAAACACACACGCACACACACACAACACCCTTACACATGTACCCTGGCTTCTATGAGTAAAACTTGCTGTTGCTGACTCTCTTCTCCCTTAATCTGAAATAAAGCAGATTTCATCATTATCAGCGAGGCATGAGAAACGGGCTGTGTGCTGAACTTTGTAACATTCCTCTGTCCACACATTTGTGGGCCATTCATGGCCAGATAGTACAGAGTTGAATGTCAGAGAGGCGGGCTCTGGACTCATGGTAAGACACTGAGACTCAGAGGAGTTAAATCTTCTCATTAGTAAAATAGGGTAAGAAGTACTCTGTAGGTTGATACAAAGATTAAGTGAGAATAACATGGGTTGTGAGTTCAGCACAGTGACTCTTGTTGGTGGCTACTGTTAGCATTTCTGTCACGATAATTTCTTGCTACTGGGACTATCTGAAACATTGTGAAACAGTAGACATCCTGGCTGTCTCACTCTCCCCCTAGAACATGCCTGTACCACATTAGAAGCATCCTTGTGGGGGACATAGTCTAGAACCATTGGACCAGTCCATTCTTGGGGACTCAATAAGGGCTCCCTAAAGATGAGTGACCATAGTTTATTTTCACTCTAACATTTCCTTTTAAAGGAAGCCGTTCTACTTAGGGAAGTGGCAGGTGCTTAAGGTACTACTATAGGTTAATGTATAGAGCAAAGAGATCTAAAGTCAAGGGTACTGCAGGATTTCTGAAGAAAGCAGCTTGAGGGTTTTGCAGAAGCCTGTCCCCAGGTGCCCAATGCCACTGTGCCTAGAAACCCTCGAGGACTTGCAGGTGAAGGGAGGCTGACCAACCTCCGGTTGCATTTCTCCTGGTACAACTGGAGCTGGTTCTCATTGACATTGAACTCTTTCACCAGGGCGTCCCGGTTGGCATTGCGCAAGTTCTGGTGTGTGTCATACAGAAAGAGCTGGTTGTTCAGCTCTTCTTGCCGCCTCCGCAGCTGCCGGCAGGAAGAGTAAAGTTCTTCTTCACACTCCTGCAGAGTAAAGGAGAGAACCATGGGGTGACCTTATCTTCCAAATCAAAATGTGAAACATGGCATCTCACAACGGTGCCTGAAGAAGGCACGGGGCCAAAGTTTTGCAGCTGGGATTATCCCAAAAAAGCCAGGCCCAATTTTAACCAAAGATAAAGCTCACAATTATTTACTGTATAGGAAGCAAGCAGTTTATACAATTCTTGGTCTTTACAATGTTGCTTTATGGTGAAATACTATAATAACAAACGCATTGCCTGTGGGTCCTATTTCTTAATTGAATCCAGTTTTCCCATGATCTGCATCACACTCTGGCCTGTATCTAAGTGCAAAGGTGTCTGAGCAGCTGCATGTTTAAAACAGAACCCAGCAGATGAGGGATAAAACAGCACAATATGAGGACAGAGAGGTAAGCAGGAGGCAGATAATTTAAGATCTTATAAGGGCCTTAAAAGGCAAGGTAACAGGCTGCAACATGAATGAACCCTGAAAACATCATGCTCAGTAGAAGAATGCAGTTCTAAAAGATCACATATTGCATGATGCCATTTTCAAGGGGGATCCAAAAAAACGGAATTTATTGATTAAAAATTGTGTATTTATTCTTACATGGTTAAACTTCAGTCACCTTCAAAGTACACTCCATTTGATGCCATACATCTATCGAGATGCTTTTTCTACTGCTCAAAACAGTTTTTGAACTCATCCATTTTGATGCCTTTTAGTGCTTCCGCCATTTTTTGTTTCATCTCTTCCACATCGGCAGAGCACTTCCCTTTGAAGAATTTTTTTGTTCATTCAGGGAAACAAAATAAGTCATTCGGGGCAAGATCAAGTAGATAGGGAGGGTGAGGCACCGGGGTCATGCTGGTTTTGGTCAAAAACTGAGGAACACCCAGTACTGTGTGGGCAGGTGTGCTCATAAATCACCCATCATGAAATGGGCAAACGCATCGAAAGAATCTCCAAATAAAAATTTACTGAACACAGCCTCTCACAATGCTAGCTGGTATACTGATGCTGATGGATTCCTAGAACACTTATCTAGCAGGGGAAGGCCGTACTATCAGGGGCCCACCCTCCAAAAGATAATTCTGGAAATGTCCAGAACAAGCAAACTCAGAAAGAAAGTCGATTAATGGTCACCAGGGGCTGGGGGTATGAAGTGAGTGGTGATGACTAGAGAACATGAGGTTTCTTTTTGGGGTGATGGAAATGTTCTCAAATTTATTGTAGTGATGGCTGCACAACTCTGAATATACTAGAACCCATTTAATTGTACATATTAAATGGGTGATCATGTGGTATATGAATTGTATTTCAAAGTTGTTACCAAAAAAACAAGCCTCAGTACCATCAATTACACCCCCCAGGGATGGGCAAGTAACTCCCTTCTAGCCAGGAATAATATCTTATTCATTACTAGCATCACCTCTGGGAATGTGACCCCAGCAAGGCCAACTAGAAGCATCCATGGGGTTCTTGCTGGTGCTCTTGGTATAAAGACAGTTTCTTTTCTTGAGAACAGCTGAGAGAGTACATGTGTCCAGTTGCTAGTGGTCCTGTCATTTCAACATGATCATGTTGAGAAAGTTGAGAATGAGATCATAAAAAGAAGAAAACAGCCATGGAGTGAGCACTTGGATTCAGCCATGACTGAAACAAGCCCTGGCCCTAAATTTCTCAGTTATGGGAGCCAAAATTTCCTTTCCATTATACTAAGGGCTGGGGAAGAAAATCCCTCTCAGGGTAGGGAGCTTGGATTTCAGCACAGAGGGTAAAACATATCATTTTAGATCACAGACTACTGTGTGAAGGTTGGTTTCTCAGTAGGTCAGTTTGCGCACTCCTCTCTCACTGATGGGGGACTGCTGTACTACAAAAATTTGCATCTATATGCATAAACAGGATCCTTTTGTCACTTACTTTTAGAAAAACATGGAAGCCGGGCTTGGTGGCTCAGCCAGTAATCCCGCACCTTTGGGAGACTGAGGTGAGTGGATTGCCTGAGCCTGTGGGTTCGAGACCCGCCTGGGCAGGTGAGACCTCATCTCTACAATAAATCCAAAAAAATTAGCCAGGCGTGGTAGCGTGCACCTGTAGTTCCAGCTACCTGGAAGGCTGAGGCGGAAGGATCGCCAGAGTCCAGCAGGTCGAGGCTGCGGTGGCCGGGAGCGACCACTCCAGTCTGGGTGACAGTGAGACTACAACTCAAAAAGAAAAAAGAAAAAAAGAAAAAGGAAAAGAAAAACATGGACTCATACCAAAGTTTGCTCTGCAAGTTTTTGAGTTTTTTGGTTGTTTTTTTCCCCCTGCTTTAATGACCTGACAAAACATCATAGACATCTCCCAGGATAACAGCTGGTACTGTGACTTCTTTATTTACCAGAACTTTAAGATGCTCCAGTCTCATTGTATACTTCATTCCAACTCTGGAATCAACTGCTTGTCTAAAGAGCCCTGATTTCTTTCATTGTTAAATAATAAATATTTAGAAAGCAGTATCTGCGTTAGGCTCATTGTTACTGGGGTATCACTGGTTCTAGGCTCTCTCAGCAGATAGAGCTAAGATATATATGTATGTAGAGTAACATATGCAAACATATGCAGACTTATTTCTGAATCTACTTATTTGTCTGTGTGTGTTGGGTTTATACCAATACCTCTGATTCCAACCAAACATTAATTTTGGAAGTATTGAAGTAAATGTCCACTTGTTCATATGTTGTTTTATATCTTTCAGTAAGATTTTATACTTTTCTTTATATAAGCCCTATATCTTTCTCATTTAAATTACTCTTAAATGTGTTAGTTTTTGTCAGTATCATAAATGGGATTTCTCATCTGTCCCTGCCTCCCGTCCCACATTTCCATTTGCTATTTCTAAAAAGAGAGAAGTAGGCTAGGCATGGTGGCTCATGCCTGTAATCCCAGGACTTTGGGAGGCTGAGGCAGAAAGATTGCTTGAGCCAGGAGTTCAAGATCAGCCTAGGCAACATAACGAGACCTCCTCTTCTACAAAAAGATTTAAAAATTAGCTGGACATGGGGGCATGTGTCCATTATCCCAGTTACTTGGGAGGCGGAGGCAGAAGGATCACCTAAGCCCAGAAGATTGAGGTTGTAGTAAGCTGTGATTGTGCCACTGCACTCCAGCTTGGATGACAGAGTGAAACCCCAACTCAAAAAATAGAAAAATAAAATAAAATAGAAGTGGTTAGACTTAATAAGTACAAGACAAATAAACATCAGTATCCTTAAAATTAGTCTTTCATACCTCATCAACAAGGGTACCTGCATAATCAACGTTTGTATACCTAACCCTGAATTGTACCGCATGTCTTTATAAAAAAAAAAATTAGGCTTCCTATTTTTAAAGCCATATAATTATAATTTGTGAAGAGAGATAATTTTATTTTTTCCATAATTTATGAGTATTTCATTTGGCTGGTTATGTTTGTGGCATCTAGTAGTTTATGATTTTCTGACACTTAATTTGTTACTAAATGAACCAGTGTTAAACCACCTTTGCATTCCTGAAACAGAAATTTAGTTGTTATACATTGCTCTTCTAGTAAGTAACTAGGAATTATTTACTCATTCTTTTAGAAGTTTAACATTTGTATTCATATGTGATATTGATCTATGGGGGAGAGAGAGAACTAGGAGTACTATCTTGCTCCAGTTTTTGATATGAAAGTTATATAGCTTCAAGACAATTGGAGCATTTACATTTTTCTATTGACTTCAATGGAGTAAAATTCGCATTATGTTCTTTTGTTAACATTTTTTATTTTAAAATTGTGGGGTACAGTTAAGGGTTAGGTATACAAATATGCGTTGTGCAGGTACTCTTGTTGATGAGGTGTGCCCCCCGTCCCCAGACAGATATCAACTACCGTTAATCCCACCTCCCTTCCCCTCCCTGCCCCCCACCCAGTTTCCCGCCACTATCAATTCTTTTCTTATAGTATTACAATAGTTGTTCAAGGTTCACTTATGAGTGAGAACATGTGATACTCAGATCTTTGTTTCTGTGAGAGATCACTCAGTATTATAAACTCCAATTCCATCCAGGTTGCTGCAAAATTCATGATTTTGTTCTTTTTTATGACTGCATAATATTCCATTGTGTATATGTACCACATTTTTTTAATCCAGTCCTCTTTTGATGGACAGCATGGTTCGTTCCATGATCTTGCTATTGTGAACAATGCTGAGATAAACATACGTGTGTAGGTATCTTTTTTATAGAGCGATTTGAGTTCTTCAGGATATATTCCCAGCAGGGGGATTGCAGTGTCATATGGAAGGTCGATTTTTAGAGCTTTTAGGAATCGCCACACTGATTTCCACAGAGGCTACACTAGTTTACACTCCCACCAACAGTGTAGAAGTGTTCCCTTTTCACCACATCCTCCCCAGCATCTGTTATTTTTTGAGTTATTGATAATGGCCATTCTGACCGGAGTTAAGTGGTATCTCAGTGTTGTTTTAATTTGCATCTCCTTGATGATTAGCGAGGTTGAACATTTCTTTAACTTCAGAAAGAACTCACCTCTAAAACCATGTAGATCTGATTCCTGTTTTATCGGATAGGTGGTTTATCACCCTTCAAGTATCTTCTATAGGACTTATTGTCTCTAACTTTTCTATGCTTCTCAGAACAATTTTAGCCCATTTACAATATTTTTGGCAATGACTCATTTGTTATACGTTATTATTTGGGGTTCAATCTCCTTTCCAATATTTACTCTTGCATGTTTCTGCTCTTACTTTGTTACTTTATTAAATAGGCAAAGAGTTTATCTTTTTGATAAACAAGCATTTGGTTTTTTCTATTAATTTTACTTGTTTTGTGTAATTCAATTGACTTTTTTGTTTTGTTTCTTCTTTTCTATTAGTTTCTTTTATTGGTGTTCAAAAAGTTCTTAAGATGAATACTTAGGGCATGCATTTTCAGACCTTGCTCTGTGAAGTTTTAAGGTAAGCACTTTTCTC